CCTTAGTACAATTAAACTAACTTAACTCCACTATATTTATAACCACCAAAAGGAGATACATCTTTATAAAAGTTTCGATGTGAGACATAAAGACACACTCAACAAATCTCCACCTTGACGTATATCCAACATCGATAAATAGTAGATAAATAGCAAGCAAGTTCCACCTTCTCCATAAAAGTCTCAACGAACCATAAAAGTCCCAACGAACCACAACGAACCACTAACAAACCAAGATACAAAGGGTCAATGGGTCCCAACAAGCTAAATCTCACAAAAGGTTCAACAAATCCCAACGGGTTAAAAACCATGAATATAGTAATCTTGCTCCACTTTCTTCTCAAAACCCTTAACGAGTTCCAACGGGCCAAATAACTCTTCTTTAAAACCCAACTGAACTCCAACGAAATTTTTTTTTCTTCACTCTATGTAGCACCCAAAACCTGTTATTGTCATCAAGAATCCAAAAATCTAACCATGACCCAAAACCTGTTATTGTCATCAAGAATCCAAAAATCTAACCATGACCCAAAACCTGAAGCTGAATCTGAAATCTTAAACTTTGATATCAATTTGTTAGGTTTGTTCCGGAAAATTGACCAATGAGAACAATAGGGTTGTTGGCAATTCAATAATGACAATAACAAAACAAATAAATCAAGCAGAGAAACACGAAATTTACGTGGTTCGGTCTAATTGACATACATCCACGAGCGAAGCAATAGCAGATTTACTATAATAGAAAGAGAATACAAAAGAGAGAATACAAAATCCTAGAAAATAATTTCCAAGTCCAAAAGGAACCTAAAACTGAAAACACAAAAGAGTCTAAATAGCACTAAATGCTTAATGACCCAAAAGCCCCATGACTTGCTCTTTTGGTTTGATGCCAAACCAAAACCTCTCTTAGACTGGGGCGTGGGACCTGCCAAAACTCTCATGGACTGGTGCATATGGCACTTGGATTGATGCCCCTAGCACAATTAAACTCACTTGAATCCATTATATTTGTAACTATCAAGAAGAGATACTTCTTTATAAAAGTCCCGATGTGGAATATAAAGACATACTCAACACATATGTCTATGTGTACCTCTATATGGTGACATATATTGACGATCAATTTATTTTTCATTTATATGCAAAAATTGAAAAGGCCCCCCACACCTAGACAATGCTTGTCCTCAAGCATTTCGGAGCTCAGTAGTACAACCAAGAGAGCAGAGGTTATGGAGTAGTCTATACTAACACAAGCATCTAAGGTCCCTGACAATGTCACCAAGATTAGAACATACTGGATAGGTAGGAGTCCAAAAAGAATAGGACCAGTAATACTCGTTACCTCCAAGAAAGTGTATGAATACTAGAAATGCTCAAATCAACATCATGGAATGGCATTACCATAAGATTGCACATTTATCACATCTCCACCACTCGAAAGTGAACTAAATACACAAATCAAAGGGACTTTAATAGGGTTGTAATGAGATTTAGGTAAAAGGCGGGATAAGAAGGTAAAAATAGGGTGTAATGTGTCAAGAGAATGTCCAATATCCACTACATAATCACAATGTTTTATCGGGGCAATTTCTCAAGTAGGGCATTTCCATTTGCTGTTTTCATTGTACAAGTGTCGGAACTCGTTCCCTTTTTTTTTTTTTTTTTTTAAGAGGACGTCTAGCAAGGCGTGGACACGCCCTGGAAGACAGAGTCTTCTGGTCACCAGCTTTTTGCCGATTTCTCCCCTTTTTTTTTTCCTTCTTTTCTTTCTTTTTTTTTTCTTGGCTTTTCTTTCGATCTCAGATGTACAGAAACAGCACCATAAAACATCTTTTTGACAACACTTGCCACCACAGATTTATTTACCTTGCACAAGTAATGAATTTCAGACATCGCTTAATGACACAAGGTTGGACAAAAGAGTCTAAAAAGGTCATGGATTATCCAGCACGGCTAACAAACAAAGAGAGGGATAAAAGCTCAAATTGGTTCACTATCGGGAGATAAGATGAGGGTTTGGTTTTTTAGATAGCTAAATAGGGTTAAATCCTAAATGGCCTTATCATTTCAAATGCATCCAATTCAGCAAAAATGTGGTCTCGACATGTATAAACTAACAAGTTCTAGAATGCCAATACCATGTGTGATACCCATTGAATCAAACAAAAATAGAGCAAACAAGAATAATGTGCTCATATAAGGCTCAAAAGCTCCCAAAAGTTTCAAAAATGGGTCAAGTCCAGCGTATTCAACACTCAACAACACTGCCAAGGGAAAACGAAATGCATAGCTAGTATATTTACCCACATACCCACGCATCTTGATTGTATCATTAATCACAGCAACATGCTCCAACATTAACAAGCATAGAAATAAACAAAAAGCCGACTAACTACAATGTTTTCTTTTTTTTTTCATTTTTTCCATTTTGTTTCATTTTGTTTCATTTTTTTTTCTTTTTTTCTTTTGAGTAACAAAGCAAAAAGAAATAATGGAAGCCACTCCCCCACGCCTAAAACCTACATTGTCCTCAATGTAGAAAAGACAAATGAAGTATTAGTAGAAAAGAAAAGAAACTTCCCTGACCACCGGGGAGGGAAAGTGAGACACTAAGGCGGAGGAGGGGAGACGGCTGCGTGCACAATGTGGAGTGGCGGCGATGGACGCAACACCAACAGGAAGGAGAAGACTGAAGTTTCTTTTTCGGAAGGGTTGGAAGGCGTGGGCACGCCTTAGAAGTTATAGCCGTCTGACCGTCAATTCCAAAACTCCATTCCTTAGGTGTGATGACCTAGCGTGGGCATGCCTAGCTACCAACTTCCTGTCACAAAATAACAATCCACTAAATGACACTAACACTTAACAAAAACTTCAAAAATATAAGAAAACTAAAACAAAAGAAGTCTTGGGTTGCCTCCCAAGCAGCGCCTTTCTTTAATGTCTTTGGCTAGACATCGTCATGTTTATTCACGGAGGATAAAATCGTGTAGTTCGTTTCAGTGCTTCATCTCCTATGTAATCCTGATAGCCCTCGTAGATAGAGTAATTCTTGACTCCACGAGCTACGGTATTCCATGGATTAGTAGTTGGCGCCAAACAAATAAGTGATGACCTTAAATCTTCACTCATTCCTCCATCAAGAGCACTTATTGGTTCGAGATATTTTGCCATCGTGACTCTTAACTCATTCCTGTCATGAAACTCAAAATATTCTGGTATAATAAAATCAATCTCACTAACAGGAATTAAAGAATAAAAGTCAGGAGAATATTGATCAAGGAATGGGGGAGGTGTCACCGCATTTGGAGATTGTTCACTGGATTCATCCACTTGAACAATTTGATATTGGGGTTCCTTTTCTTGTACTTCAATTCCCTTTTCAACTGCATCTTTAGATTCTTCTTCATGAGACTCTTGCAGTTCCATGTCATTTGTCAGGATAATTATACTCTCATCTTCTTCATGGTCGATAATAATCGTTGAGGGCAATTCTTCACAAAATGGAGAAATCAATTTGCTCATTGTAGATGCCAATTCACGCCTTCCATCTTCCATCTCTTTAATCAACCTTTGTGTCTCCTGTTGAAATTGACGTGTCTCCTGTTGAATTTGATGTGTCTCCTGTTGAATTTGATATGTCTCCTGTTGAATTTGATATGTGTTAGTAGCTATTAATTCAACTATTTCTTCAAGAGACATACCTGACATGGATGACGGACCTTGAGACTCTAGCTGTTGAAAATCTATTGGCTTTTGTTCATAATTAAAAGTGGAATCATCCCACCATCCTTGCTCATACCCGTTTGAATAAGGGTCATACCACGTTTGATATTGAGGTGAAAAATCTCCAAAAGTATCGATTGGAGTACTTCGACCATCTTGAAATGCAGGGCATATGTTGGGTGAATAATTCGAAGCAAAATAAGCTCCACAATTTGCAACAGCCCATTGATCATTAGAAAAAGCATGAGTCTCATAACCCCTTATAAAATTAAAATCCAGTCTATCACCAAAATACGGAATGTTAGCAGTCATAAAATATATACAAAAAAAATAAGAGAAAAATAAAAAAAATGAACTAAAAAAGAAACAAATTAATCAAGCACCAGTCCCTGGCAACGGCGCCAAAAATTGACAGGTGCCGAACCTGTGCAATAATAAATACCTACTCAAGAAAATTACAAATTTTGTATATAGCGGTGAGTAGGGTCGAATCCACAGGGACTGGAAATAATTCGTTTCTTCTAGAGTTCAGAGTATGGGGGGGTTTTTGATGGGAGGAAAATAAAAATAAAAATAAAACAAATAAAATTCAAAACTAACTCACAAAGCACAATTTACTAAAAATAGCAATTAATAAAAGTTCTACCCAAAGGATCAACTGCTCAGGCACGGTCCAATTAAATGATCATCGATGCAAAGATATTTCACTCATTCATCACTAGGTTGGTTATAGTTATCAATAAGTTCTGACAACCAGTTCTTCCTTACCTTTTCAACAGTCAAGGTACGACCATTGACTGCTTCCCTAACTAGATAACAACCCTAGGTACGACCGTAGAAATTTAATTATCCAATTGCATTAAAGCTAGAAGAACCCAACCCTAACCAATAAACACGCTAAGAGGGTTTATTTAAGCTAGATCTTGCGTTTCTCCATCATAAAACCAATTATGGTGGTTGCCACGAGGTGTTAACTAAATGAACAATTACGGATTCTATTTAATTAACGTGGCAGTAGGCTATTAAATTAAATCAAATACCCGGCCGTTGATATTCAATCAATAAAATACCCATGAACAATTAATTCAGGAAACGCACGAATAACAATAAATTGAGAGAAATAATGAAGATTCGATTAGATCTCACAGATATTATGGACCGCGCCTTCGCGTTAACCTTTGGGTAGAGGAGGAAATTAGCCGCTCCTCATCGTGTCAATCCCGCGTGGTTTAATTGAAAACACCCGCGCAAACATCGCACAATTTGAAACGCTGAAGTACCGAAGAAAGAAAAAGGAAAAAGTCTTCCTTGTCTCCGCTTTGATGTTTGTACTGAAACCCAAAAGTATACGCACAAGCCAACGGAAATTGTACAAAGCCAAAGTAAAAACAAAAGAGTCAAAAGCGCCCAAACCAAGAGCGAAAACGAAAAGGGTCTCTGACGTCTGACGGCTAGGGAAAAAGAAAACTAAAGCTATCTAAAATCCTAATACGTGAATCTGGCTTTTTTTCCTTTCTATTTGTAGCGCCGCAGGAGGTTTTCAACCAAAAAGACGTCTGGCCCAATTAATTGAAACAAAGGGATTTTTGGAGTTTTAATCCCGTGCTCCTCGCGATTCACGTGGATCGCAGTCCGGCTTTCGGTTTCGTCCACCTTCCAAGGCGTGGCCACGCTCTGAGACGAAGGGTCTTCTGTAAATTTGCTTCCAGAGATCATTTTTAATGCCGACCACCTATAATTCATACAAATGTGAAATATGAGTTAAATTCCAATTCTTAGCACCGTGAATGGCCAAAATTATGACAAAATAACACTGCAAAATGTGCCAAATAACGGCTCTATCAGGGAAAGATATATGAACAACTAAATGTAAATTACCACCTTAATTGCCATATATGTATGACAAGCATAAACACCAAGTCAACATATAAATTGGGATCACGAACTTAAGGTCTCTATATTTGTAAACAAATTTATTGGCAATACAACATATCTCATTCCCGTCTTGAACTTTTAACATTTGGTGGGACACCAAGTCAAGACAAAGAGTTCCCACATATACATTTGCACTCCAAGGCTCTGCCATATATTCAGTAGAAAAACATGAGTACTACTTGAATGAATGGTAAGCTTTGGAATGAGATTTTGACATAATGCTAATGGATTATCTCATATATAATGGTTTTACCGTCTACTTCAAGGTGTGATATCTTTGATAAACTGAAGTTTGATCTTCTGCAATGCTCCTAGAGCTTCTTTCATGTTTATTCTCTCCTCAGAAGCATCTGTTGTACAACTTAAACCAAGTTGCAAGATAGATGATATGCATTCAATCTTCCTTTGTACCAATATATCTTCAGGATGACGCAAATTTGTGTCTATAACCTGAATCACAGAATCTGGTGAGCTTTCTTGTATCCAACGCCTGAGGTTTAATTCTTCTATAAACATCTCATCCTTAGGCTTTCTTTTTGTAAATGTCTCCATCAATATAATCCCAAAGCTGTAAACATCACTACTTGTTGAAATCAATCCTTCCAGTCCATACTCTAGCATCAAAAAATTTGAAACTAGTTGTTAAAGTGAAGTACCAGTTCACCAATTTTACAATTTTTTTTTCAAATTTTTCATATTTCACATACTGTACTAGTTGCTAAAAGTTGAAACATTAATTTGAATGACATAAAAAATTCGAAATTGTAATCAAGAAAAGTCACCTGGGGCAATATATCCAAATGTACCAAGAGTCTTTGTTTGTACCACAGATTCTTCATCTCCCAACAACTTTGCAATTCCAAAATCACAAACATGCCCAACCATGTCTTGATCCAGTAGAATATTGCTAGGCTTCAAATCACAGTGAACTATAGGAGTTGAATAACCATAATGGAGATAATCCAAACCACAAGCCACATCTATCATAACATCCAATCGTTGCTTGATGTTTAAGAAATGAGGGTTTGAATGAAGCCATTTCTCAAGGCATCCATTGGGCATATATTCAAGCACCAAAGCCTTAAAGTCAGGGCTAGAGCAAGCACTGATTACTTTAGTTAAATTTCGATGACGAAGGCAGCTTAAGACTTCACATTCTCTATCAAAGCTTTTAAATGCAGATTCTAGCTGCAAATCGAATACCTTTATGGCCCAAACCATCCCATTTTCACGAATTCCCTTGTAAACTGAACCAAAGCTCCCCGAACCAAGTAAGTTACTCTCGCTAAATCCATTTGTTATTTGTCTAAGTTGAAGGAAGGATGCCCTTTCAAATGTCGCCATGGGAAGCAAGTTCTGAGTTGGAGCTAGAGTTTTCTTTCTCAACTTTAACCGCATCAAAAAAATTGAAATCACCAAGGCTAATATGGCAGAACCTGATGCCAACAGAACAATCATGACTATCCTTTTTGTCCTTGATTCATGTTGAAATGTACTTGTACAAGTTTGGCGCCAAGGAGCGCCACACAATGCTTCATTTGAGAGAAAAGATAGGTTCGTGAAATTTGTGAATGGCCCTCCGTGAGGAATCGGTCCTCTCAATCTGTTGTAAGACACATTAAAGTATTGGAGATCTGATAGTACATGTAATGAGTTGGGAATTTCACCTTCTAGATTGTTAAAAGATAGATCCAAATGCCGTAACTGCAACATATTCTTCATGGAATCTGGCATCAATCCTTGTAGTTTGTTATGTTCCAAGGAGAGTTCTTGCAAATCTTGTAGTCCTCCAATAGTGCTAGGTATCCCACCAAAGTATTGATTATTTGAAAGGTTCAAATAGACTAATGCCTTCAAGTTTCCAATTTCAGCAGGCAAAGAACCTGTCAAATAATTTCCTGACATGTCCAACTTCAAAATATCTCTAAGGCTCCAAAAGGTTGTTGGTATCACAGAACTTAAATTGTTAGACTTGAGATAAACATATCTGAGTGCTGTAACATTTCCTAAACAAGAAGGCACCACACCAGAAAGCTTATTTTTTGCCAGATATAATCCTTCTAAGTTCAACAAAAAACAAAGCTCATTTGGAATAACTCCTTGTATCTGATTGTCAGTTAGATCCATCATCTGAAACTTCAACAACCATTTGATTGTAGTTGGAATTACTCCTATCAAACTATTGATGGCAAAGTCCAGCCCTATCAAGTTGCTCAAATTACCAATCGAACTTGGAATTTCACTTATGATTCCACAACTAGTGGCATAAATGGATTCGAGTGAGCTAGAAAGATTTCCAATAGATTTTGGGAGGAAGCCATTCAGAGGATTGTCATCTATCCACAACCTTCTTAAATGTTTGCAGTTTGATAGGGATATGATGAAGCTCAACTCTTTGGATAGCGAGTCCTCAGAAAAATTATTTTGCCATATAGCAAACTGTTCCAGTAATCTCAAGTTTCCAAGATAATAAGGAATTGCACCAGTAAAATGGTTCATAGCAAGGTCTAGCATTCTGAGCCTAGAAGCATTTGAGATGGATGTTAGTACAGTTCCAGTAAATTCATTTCCCCAAAGGTAGAGTTCCTCAAGATTGGGTAAGAAAACACCTATAGTTGATGGAAGCTCGCCTGATAAATCATTCTGCGCGAGAGAAATAATTCGTACAGTTGAACTATTGAAAAGTTTCAGCGGGATGGGACCTCTCAACCTATTCAACTCCAAGTTTAGCAGTTCCAACTTGCTAAGATTACCAATCTCTTCAGGTATTATACCTGACAAATCAAATTGGTGAGAAAAAAATGTGAAGATTGTTTGTTGTCCTACTTTTAGAATATACAACGAGGAGTCATATTTTTGTATTTACACCTATTAAAAAAATATTCTTAACTGTATCACTTTATAGTCTAATCAATACGAATATTTGATTTCAATCATGTATACATTAGTACAAATACCATTAGCACTACTAGTGATAAATGGCACACTCAATTTATGTGCAATTTAAAAAAATCGCTTTTTATATGGAAGAAATTGGTATAAAACTTTAATAAATGAAAAAACTTTGATCTTTTAAAAGCTTTTTTAATATTATTATAATGTTTGTGGTTGGTAATGGGTGAAAGTTAGTTGTGGAATTGGTTGATGATAAGTGTATATTTTGAGTGATTTAAGTGTGTTTTATTATCTATTTTTGGTATGTTTTATTCACTTTTATAGCTAATTAATTAAGTTCCTAGTGAAGATATGCATTTTATGGTTAAAGTATAAAAATTGCATTTCTATGTATTAAAATGGTGAAAATTTCATGTTTTTGTAAGTTTAATGATTCAATCATTAAATGGAGTAAGTTGCCAAGATAATTGGATGATTTTTAATGATTTGAAGTGGTTTTAAAGATAATATAAAGTGCAAGCGATGAAATGCAATTAAGTATAAAAAGGAAAAATTTCCAGCTTTGACACCTATTGATATTTTAGCTATATCTTGAGTTACAAGTATCGGATTGAGGTGATTCTTATGCCATTTTGAAGCTAACACATAGTTCTGCATTTCTTATGCAGACATCAAAATCTAGTTCATGAGTTTCATTCTCAAAATGTTGAAATACAGTCAGTCATTTCTATTGTCAAAAGTTAAAATAGAGTTTTGACCATTTGAGGGTATTTTGGTCATTTCTCAATTTACAGAGCTCCAAATTGGATGATTCTAGAGGCATTGGAAAGCTGACTCAAATGAATAAACTTTCATGTTTTGTATAAGAGTTAGTTCAGCCTCCATCATCAAGAAAATATCAGTGGAAGTTGGAATAAAAATAGAGCAAAGATGAAGATTGACCAGAAATGAACAAACTTGCAAAAAAGGCAAAACGTGGGGTCGCGTTTTTAAGGTCACGTATTATTCAATTGCGGCTGCAACTTACTCTGCAACTTGTGCTCTATTTGCACAAGCTTTTTGACCAACTTTTTTGCAACAAATCTGGTTGGAAATGATCAAGCAAGCATAGAATCTTGTAGAAGCAACTTTTGGAGATTTCAAGAGCTAACTTTGCTAACTAGAAACAACTCATTTGTGGCTTGAATTTCTCTATAAATAGAGGCCTTGGAGAACATTTTGATAACTTTGGAAAGCTAAATATACTACAAAAAATATAGTTTTCACTAGTTTTTCTTAATTCATTAGTTTAGATAGGTTAATATAGTTTTATTCTATCTTGTATCATGCTAAGCAAGGATGATGATTGAGGTTTGAAGATGGCGAAAATGTTGCTCACATATGGCAAGAGTTTCATCTCTTCAACTCTTTAACTTTTGTATTTGAATCTTATGCTTAGTCATAATACAAGTATGGTATTTACTTTCCATATGTTTGGTTAAAGTTTATGCCTAGAGTTATGGATGGCTTTCTATATCTTGTTAGTGATATTTATTTGGTTATTTGATGATATTTTTTTCAGCAAGTTATTTATCACTTTTGTTTTATCTAATCATAATTAACCGGCGGTTAATTGTGATAATCTTAAGGTGTTAAATTTGCAATGAGAATTAGGATTTGACACTAATTCAAGGGAGTGATAAACTTAGGGAATTCACTCACGGAAGAAGAGGAGCACTTATGTGGCTCTAGTGATTTAATTTACTGTAATTTTATAGAAAAAATGAACTTGTAGTTAAGTTCATAACCACAAGAGTAAGTATGATTTAGTTACAAGTATAGTTGATTTACTACGAAAGTAGGTTTTACATACATTAGGAAATTATGTCATAACTAATTAAGATAATAGTATTCAATTAACTGGTAGTTTCATTTACAAGAGTAGTGAGGAATTTCATACCTCTAGAAGTTTTTTATTGTTATTTGTATTGTTTTTACTCATGTTTATAGTGTAGATTTACTTTCTTGCACTTATGATAATCTGAATAATAAAGGAGTTCGAAAAACATCGATAATTGACATTCTTCCTTGTGGGTTTGACCCTTAATACCCTATACTCAATTTCGATCTGTATACTTGCAGAAAATCGCGTGTGGGATTTTTAGAAATTTATAAATGTAAAATTTGATTGTAAATGAATTAATTATTATATGTATACCTTGCGCTCGTCAGTTGACAATACATAAGCAACAGGTTAATCAGATGATAAAAGTATAATTAAGTGATTATGATGATAATGCTGAAAATTAGAAGTGACACATGTGGTCCAATTAAATTTCACCTATATGCGCTCTGGTTATTATGTCATCAATTCATTCGCATTAATTTGGTCTAATACCATTACAAATGCATTTTTAAAAATTTCTTTAAGTTATACCCGCAAATATAATAAACAATCAAGCAACAACGTATCATTGCTCCTACAAATATTCCATCTCAACTAATTAATTAACCATACGTTTACTCCTTTACAATTATTAATTTAATAATTGATAATCATTTCTCCTATGATTGGTTTAATTAATTTGCGATCATTTTCCTTCAACCCATGATTGGTTTAATTGCCCTCGTCAACCGCTTCAACCACTAACAAGTTGCTTTTGTAACTCCCCCGAATCTATCCATCATAACAAAAGCTCCGCACTTTTAATTCTCTCAATCATCTTTATGTCCACTCAATCTCGGCCCCACAACCCAGTCACAACCACACCTCGTTACTCTCAACCCGTACTAAGCCTCATGTCTCCCGGTAAAATTTACAGCTCATGTGCCTGATTGAAGCCACTTTGACGCCAACAATTGTATTTGTGTCTTCTATGTACTATTTTGTCGTAACCATGTACTCCCATGGTTCCATTGGTTAGGCTCCTCTAAATTAGGGTAAAATAAATTATATAAATATTATTATTGTAATAAAAAAATATATTCATTAGTACGAACAGCTATACAATTTTGTAGATTTTTTGCCTAGGTGAGCAGCAACCAAAGCATGACAATGGCAAAATTTTTGTGTCCCACATATCTGAAGTCAAGTGCCTAAATTTAACGAAAGAGGACGCATCTCAACAAATTCAAGGGTATAATTCATTGACAACTTTGGAAATGGCAAAACATTTTGAGACAATGTTTCATTCACTCTTTTTATCTCTTTGTACCCTCTCTCTAAGTGCTTCCTCATCTTCCTATTTCCCCATTGTATCATCTGTTAGCCCCCTATCAGTATCTCTATTTTTGAAGTACAATCAATTGGAATTTGAAGTTGAGTTATAGATGTAGGCTGTAGCATATTGAGATCAAGCTGATCAAAATCCTTTTAGCTTATGCAGTGCGATAGTATGACTGACCAATTGAGGTATGAGAAGGAGTCCAATTTGATTTGTATTTGAACTCGCTTAACTTCAAGCTCAAATTTAAGTTTGAGAAAAGTTTTTTCATGATGTGATAATGAAATAGATATCACGTCAAAAAGTTTTTTACCTGTCACATTAGCACTCTCCATGCCTAGTATCTCCAAATTATAGAGATTGTCAATGGCTTTTGGAATTTCACCTGCTCAGAAATCACGACATGATGATAAATATAATTAACAGCATGGCATAATTATATGTATATAATATATATACATTTCAGAATTCTAAGGGGCTTCAGTCAAGTTTCAAATAGTATCATGTAAATCTCTCGTAAATATTGGCAAAATGACGATTGCATGCACTCCCAAAAATTGGAGGTCATTTTGGTGGCAATCTCTATGCATATGTCAATTGATTTTTAAATGTACACATAAATTAGAAATAAAATTGATATAAAATCTAAATATGCATATCAAAATTAATAGTTTTTACATTTTCTTTCATAGACGGTAAAGCCATGAAGTTTCAAACGTCCAAAAATTTTAAGGGAAAATAACTCAAAACCCCCATGTGGCTTGCAAATATACTTTAAACATCCTTATGCTTTGGATTCAAAGGCAAGACAGATGTAATCCATCAAAACCAATGGTTTTGTACAAAAAGACAACTTCACCTCATTAGTATACATAGTGTCAATTCATCCTTCTTTCACAATTTTATTTCTTACATCAAACAAAAATGTGTGTTTGGCATAGTCATTAATCCCGGCCTAGACATCAACCCGGCAAGGCCATTGGTATAACAGGTTAGCGTCTTAACCATAAATTTATCGATCTAGCCGGTGTTTCTAAAATATTGTACAATATAATATTTTAAATACTAAAAATATTATAATTATTAAATTTCTGGTTGAACAGGTCAGTATTTTAGATTTTACGGATTGAATTGACGAATTATTGACTAGTTAATGATTTCCTTCATCATTCAGTCCAACCAGTAATCCAAGATCACTAAGTTGACCAATTGAATCATCCGGTTAGGTGAGGTTAGGTTTAGTAAATCTGTGTTCGCCATGCTTTGAGTTTTTTATTTCCTAACTTTTATCTTTATTTTGTTGAAAACAGAAACTTCTTTATTCACACAAAGTTTGCACCAATACTTAAGTAGTTAGCGATTATCAGCAATCGTGTATGTGATGTAAATTTTGCATGCACTTCTGAATTTCGTCTCAAAATCCTTTAAAACCCAATGAAAATTTCTCATTGGGTTATGAGGGATTTTAAACAATTTTCAATGGGTTACGATGGATTTTCAGTCTTAATTTGTACTCTACACAGTAAACTTACATCAATTAGTCGTGGATGACAATTGCCGGCTATAACTACTTACTTTATAATGTTGTTGCAAATTTTGATTGATTAAGGAAGAATATTTTAAAGGGTTATTATCACTTTACCTCTTTAACGTTTAATGTCACTATCAATTTTCTCCTTAACGTTATTTTTTAGTCATTTTATCCCTAAGACTAACGGTCATACTTAATGGAATTTATTAATCCAAGTGATAAGGCATGTTTAATGTTTAAAATTATTATCACTTTGTCCCCATGAACTGTAAACTTATTATCAGTTTACCCCCTACAGACTAGAGTTATTTTTTAGACAATTTATCCAACCATTAAATCAACTTAGCAAGTTAAAAAATAATAGAAAATAGTACCCTCTTTTTTGTATAATAAAAACAAGGATTATTATCACTTTACCCCATTAAACTATATCACTACTATCAATTTATCCCATAATATTATCTTTTAGTCACGTCACCCTATAGGTAATTTAACTCATCATATTAATAAAATTTTAACAAAAATACCCTTTTATTTTATAGCATTGCTACATTATTATTATCACTTTATCTCTTTAAATTATGGTGATATAATTGTTTTACTCTCTAACATTATTTTCTAGATATTTTATCCTATCATTAATCTAAAAAGTATGTTAAAAAATGTTTAAATATATTTACCTTTTATATATATAATTAAAATAAAAAAAATTGGAATGGTTATTCTTCCTTTTTTTCACTTTAAGAGATTCAAAAACATAAAAATAAAAGGATTTTCTCATATTTATTTTTTCACACTTATTAATACTAGTTAAAGAAAAGGAGATAAGACAGAAGGAGACAAAAAAATTAGATTTTGCCAAAAAAGAAAATAAGGAAGAATCTAATATTATCGTATTACTTTAATATTCTCAGGATTAGAATTGGAATTGGGTAGAAAATAGAAAAATAAAAGTAATTTTAAAATAATAAAAATATTGAATTCTTTCTTGTTTGTATTAAAAAAAAAGAATTGAGCTCTCTTTCTCTCCCTCCCTCCCTCCCCTATTTTTCTATTGTTTTCAATATTAATAAGATTGCCAAGAAAAAAGAGATTAATGTTTTGACTTTTTTTTTGTTGATACTAAAAATGAGAAGAGCCACTCTAAATTTTTTATTGTTTTTATTATACAAAAAAGAGAGTACTATCTTCTAAGTTTTTTAACTTGTTAAGTTGCTTTAATTGTGGGATAAATTGCATAAAAAATAACTCTATGAGATAAATTGATAATAAGCTTATAGTTTATGGGGGTAAAATGATAATAATTTTAAAGACTAAACATGTCTTATCACTTAGATTAATAAACTCCGTTAAGTTTGACCGTTAGTTTTGGGAGTAAAATACTCCCTCCATCCCACTTTGATAGTTCTAGTTTTTTTTTCACACAGTTTAAAAAAAATAGTTAACTTTGTTGAAACAATCAATTTATAAGGTAACTATTTTCCTAAAATACCCTCACATTAATTAGAGTACAACTTTATGGGAACTTGAATTGATAGTAAAAAAAGAACCAACTCTCATTAAATGAGGTAGGTTTATAATAACAACAACTTACATTGAATAAGGGTATTTTAGAAAAATTAAAATACAACTACATTTTTCAATTGGCAAGTGGACTACAATTTGGGACAGACAAAAAAGGAAAACAGGACTATCAAAATGGGATGGAGGAAGTAACTAAAAAATAACGTTAAGGGGAAACTTGATAGTAATACCAAACGTTGAGGGAATAAAGTGATAATAAGCCTAATTTTTTTTTTTTTTTTTGACAAAATAAAGATGAAAAGTTGACAAATAAAAACATCAAAACATTGCAAACTAACAATTCAGTTTGAAATAAATAAAGATAACGTACAGCATGGGGCCAAAACTAGAAATACTTTCAAGTAAGAAACAAAATTAAGAAAAAAGGATGAATTTAAGTTATGTATGTTAATAGTGTTGTCTTTTTGCACAGAACTGTTAGTTTGTATGCATTTCATCATCTTAGCTTTCAATCTGAAGTACAAAGGGGTTAGCTGCGTATTTCTAAACCGCATGGCAGTTAGAGGTTAGAGTACCACACCCCATGGGGTTCTTGGCTAATGTCTCCAATTTTTAACTATTATTACCTATGTGAAAGTATTTCAAACATCCTCATATAATCATTGATGAACAAAGAATGCAAAAAGAAGGAATCATCGCTTATATCCAGTCTACTTAAACATTAAGTTTAAGTGTTTCTCCACACATATGCATCTAAACTCACAACCCTACAAGCATTTAAAGCAATGATCTATTGGTGCTCGAAATATACAAGAATTTTTCAAAACAAAGTGAAGTTGGTAGCTTACCTGTCAGGTCGTTCCCACCCAAAGCTATTTGTGTAAGCGTGGTTAGATTCCAAACTCCTTTTGGTATATACCCTCTGAATTTGTTAGAAGACAAGGATAAAACTTGGAGTCTTGAGCATTCTCCGATGCCTGATGGAATTTCACCTTCAAAGTTATTAAGTGATAAGTGAAGCCCTTGAAGTTGTGGGAGATAATTGCAGATGTGTGCTGGAAGGTAACCCGATAAGCTATTACTCGTAAAACCAATAACTTGCAATGAGGAGAGGTTAAACAGAGCCAGTGGCAGAGGGCCTGCAAGTTGGTTATATTGAATTTCCAAAAGTTTCAATTTCGGTAGAGCGCTGAATTCTTCAGAAAGATTTCCGGTAAAAAAGTTGTAACCCAACCTGATGGTCTCTAACTTTGTGAAATTAGAGAGCCTGCCTGATAATGAACCTGAAAATCCATTATCTCGGAAGGATAAGTATCGGAGTGCAGTTAAACCTCCCAACCATGACGGAAGTTCTCCCTCAAAAGCATTACCGTCCAAGCTGATGTACTTCAATCGGCGCAGACGAGAGAGCTCGGTTGGAAGATGTCCATGAAAGCTGTTATTCATGACATTCAACCTGACAAGAAAAGAAAGATTTCCCAATTGTGGAGGCATCGTTCCCGCAATTCCCATGTAAGAAAGGTCAATGGCTGCGACTCTATGATGACGAGCATTACAAGTGATACCAATCCAGTTGCAAACAGAGGTAGAAGTGGACCAGTTGGTTGGGATGATCCTTTGGGGATCGAAAATGGCTGCTTTGAAGACAAGAAGAGCATTCAGATCACTAGCACTGTTGTTATGGTTATTGGCAATACTTAAGCTAGCTGAGCTAGTTGTGACAAAATGCAACACTATGGCTCCGAGGACAAGAAAATAAGTTCTCTGCATTGCTTATAGAGGTAAATAAACTTGACGAAAGCCAAATAAATATAGAACATGAGCATACATTGTGACTTTGGGCAGGACTTATATAGGCATAATTGCGGTTGACTTACTTTTTTTTCCACAACGTATTGTCGTTGTATTTCTTTTGTAAAACTGGATTATCAAGTGAAGATTTTTAGGTAAAAATGTTGAAAATTAGAGCTTTGGAATTGGTAAAGTCTTACACGTGTGAATTGGTAAATTGCTGTTATCATCGTCTATGACGAAGTGATGAGACTTCGTCAAATTGAAGTTCCTCATCTGTTCACCAAGTTTCCATTTTGATATGTTCCCTACTTTATTGTTTTCTTCTTTCAGATTGCTACATATTACCCTGGCAAAACAGACACTAACTGATAGGAGATCTATTACTCAATTTGGTGAATTAATGGCAAAACAGAAACTAACTGCATATTATCGCCTTGACTCTATCTTGAGACGTGCGGTTTTATTTTGGCACAGTTTGAAATTAGGCAAAAATGCCAACTATTGTACCCCAAAGCTGACAAGTGTGTAGCAGCTTTTTTAAGTATATTCTCTATCTCTTCATTTAGTATTGAAGGAATGTAACCCAACCCACCAATTAAATGATAAACCTGGGATAAAGATGCTTTTATATATATATCTAAAGAGCTTATGACTACCATAAAACACAATGAATTTAGATTGAGCAAGGATTTTCCTCAGTCAATACTTGTCCTTAAACAGTAGTTTGTACTTGTATAGGAATTAGGATTTTGTTTTCTATCAATTTTGTTTCTGTGCTTATTGCACTATAACTGTCAGGCAATAGGAAAGACCTTAAAACCTCTTTTCTGATCATTGGTCCAACTCCGATGGTTATATTTTTGTACTTGAATATGCTCTGATGCTTTATCAATTAATGTATATATCATTTCACTTCTTTTCAAATCTTTTTCAACCTAATCCTGAGAATGGAAATAATCCTAAAAAATCTTCTCCAATCACTAGGCCAACCCCATAGTTATATTTTTCTCCTTGATCATGGTTTGATGCTTTATCAATTAAATCTGATTTTCACGTAAAAAAATAATAATAAAGCTACGCTGACCCCGTTTATTGAGATTCTTTAAAATAACATCTTCACATCTTAATTGACAACCTGGTGCATGCATTTCTATCCGTCAGTCGCCAGCAATCACCTGTCTACGCGGGGGAGCTTTGTACGTCAACTTGGACCGGGAGTGGGTCGCAAGTGGGTTCTTTCCCAGTAGCTATGGACAATTTAAGGAGCTTGTCTTGATGAAGACCACATTCACTGAAGGTGCTTTCTTGATGAAGACCTGCTGCCCAATTCTCTAGGTTGATACTGATGTTTTGTTGTCCTTTACTTTATTTGGTAGACTTTATTTGGTAGGAATAAATGCCTACCGGGGGAAGATTATTATCTCTCTTCGGACTTCGTCGGATTAATTCCAAATAGTAGTAATAATGGTTATGGAAAATTCTAGATTGCTTGTCTTGTCACTCTGACTTTGGCGTATACTTCCTAGTCTATTGGTGATAATCACGTAACATTACAATCACTACCCTTACCAAGACCTATTCAACCTTGAGGATGCTACCTAGACAAAGAACCATGGGGTCCCAGTCTCAAATCTACTAGGTGTGCGTATTAGAAAATATACGTGCTTATGGTTTATAAATGATCCACCTTGATGGGTTTAATACAATCTCGTTTGTAGGTTCTAAGTCACTAATAACAATGAACTAGCAAAATAGAGGGATAAAAAGTTGTGTAGTGTTGGCTAAATTCACAATTACCAAAATACACAAGTATTTCAGATGGTTTACTTCTATACTCTCAAATTAAATTAATTTTTGTATTTATAGTATAAGATCTTGTTAGATTTTACCATTTGATTGTAGATTATTACAGTCTCCTTCTCCCAAGTATTAAAAACACGCCTAATTACTTCCCAAAAATTACAGATCCTCATTTATCATCCTGTCATATTTTTAGTTACATTCTCAAATTTAACCTTCTCGGTCCCTGATTGGCCGTCGAGATTTCCTTAGACTAGCTTTTTATGTATTTGCTTCAACTTTAGCTGTTGAGTGTTTTGTAGAGTAATTGACGTAACAAGCAATGTCAAGGTCATAGTTATAAAACATGGCCCGATCCAGCAGTCAAATTGGTCAATCAGGTGAGCCCGTCGTAGGATCGGATTGGATCACTAATTAGATTGTTCTAACAAAAAATACATTGACTAATTAATGACCCGGCAATTTAACAGGTGAATTGGAAAAAAATGACTGGTTGAACCGTCAGTTGAGCCACTAATTTAAATTTTTATTATTTTTATAATTTAAGATACATTATTATATTATATAATATAATTAATATGTAACTCACAGTTAACCATCAATCCGGTGGCTCGGTCATTTCTCTGGGTCGAGTTTTGGGTTGGATTTATTAACTACGATTCAAATTTCCTTAGACTAGCTTTTTATGTATTTGGTTCAAATTTCGCTGTTGAGTGTTTTGTAGAGTAATTGATGTTGCAAGCAATTCCGCTGCTTTAGCATTCTATGTAGCAAAATTGAATTTTGAGTATAACAATGTTCCAAGAATGATGAAAAGGATACTAGTCCAAGCCAAGCTAAAATTATTAAGTGTCTGAAAATTTGAAGGATAAAAGAAGAGAAGATGTAGAGAAGTGTCCGGACCACGGGAGCGGTTTTGTGCATTTTGCACACCGCGTAACTTTGTTTGCACACGGCGTAATTTTGTTTGCACAACGTGTAACTTTAGAACAAGTTTTTGTGGGCTCTATACGCGTTATTAAAAACGAGGTACAAGAATAATCTAAATCGTACAATTTTTTTGGACCAAATCTTAGCCGTAAATAGCTCAGGAGCAGTCCATCTGATGACCGCTCCTGCCCCTCATCCAGAAGTGTCCTAATCCTCTATGGGCCTGCACGAGTCTAAGGCATTCATTGTCTCGCTAAGACGCACCACAATTTTGTCCGACCTTTAAGGCATTCAGTGTGTCGAAATACAAGTTTCGGTCAAGAACTACTCCGGTCTAAGTCCTTGGGCTCCAGAGTCAAGAATTGGATCTATTCACTCATTTCCGTGTGTTTGCTTCCAACCAAGATGGATGCCAGCCCAACGAAAGAAGATATTAGTGCAGTCTTTCTATATGAAAGGAAGGCAGTTGACTGGAAATTCTTGTGTGAATCTAGTCTGTGGTATAAATGGGTTAATTATGTTTATCTTCTGGTTAAATAACAAAAAATGAACCTGTCGGTTGACCAACCTGCATTTACCCCTCTAAGTACTGATGGTGTTCAAACCAAACTCATGAAATGAAATAAACGAAAGAATACAGTGTTAATCCTCAATATTTGGCTAGTGTGCCAAACTGTCCCTAATGTTTCAATTAAAACAAATTTGGCCCCCAAATATGTCATTAACAAACTTTTCTCAGTTTTAAAATTTTCCTTATACCCTGACTGCTAAGGTGAAGTGTCCTCGATATATTTTTTTTGGGGGGGGGGGGAGGGGGGAGGTAGGGGAACCAAGCTCAATTAGGTGTGGCTAATTATGCTACAATTGGAAGTAAACATGGATACGGGGCACAAACGGTTGCAGGTGCAACCGTTTGTGTAGGTTGTCTTCATTTTGCACTGCGCGTAACATTGGTTAAACACGATGTAACTTTTTTTTCACAGGATGTATTTTCACAACAGATAGTGGTGGGCCCCACACTTGGTGCGGAAATCGAGTTACATGGTGTAATCTCAGCCGCACAAAATTTTGAGGGCAAATCTTGGCCCTTAACCGTGCAGGGACGGTCATACTGATTACCGTCCCTGCCCCAAATCCAAGTAAACATATATATCTCCAACATTTATATCTCCATGTTTAATAACTTTATCCGAAACATTCAACAACTTACCATCCTCATCTAAAACATTTAAAAATAAATAAATATATAAGGAAGAGCCGATGCTATGAGATTATCAGGATGGAAAGTTTTAATGATTATGTTCTTAAATATTGAATTACTGGCATTACTCGAGTAAATTTTACTTTATCAAGAGAAAGATCCTGATAGTGAGACAATTATGCATTTTATTTGATGGTAATTGCTCCTAATTTTGGCCACTTATTATGCAAAGTAATGGATTTATACTCATAATTGGTATTTGTGTCATTTGCAGGCAATTGGTGTCAAAAGTGGCAAAAAGGAGCAAATTTCCAAAAGATTATTCATTCCAAAACATGCCCACGCCAGAGACCGCAGAGTGAAGTCCGAAAAGACGGATCGCAATACGTATCCCTAGAAGCTTGCCACTATTTTTGGGGAGATGTGTTTGACGTTGTGTGGGATTAGGAGACATTTTCTGAGAATATTTTGGCAACAAATCAAGGAGAAAAATAAGGAAAGATATTCCATATAAATACAAACACGTATTTGGCTAAAGGGGGCGGCGGGGGAGAAACTTTAAAAGGAGAGCAACAAATTAGTAGTTTTTGATCTTTTATCTTTTTTCTCTTCTTCTTAACGTGAGTTAGAGATTAGCGGCTGTACTTTTTCATCAACTAAATTACATTGAAGCCTCGGATTGCATCATCATCACGAGGCAATGCTAGATTCCTTTATCTAGTTAAGAGATAATCATGGCCCGGTTGCACGGACAATTGTGAGATCTTTTCAATCTTTCTGCGCTATTTTAAATTCTGTGTTCGTGGGTATTTAATTATTCCTTACTTTAATAGGTTATTATTGTTTGGATCTATTGGATTAATGTGGCCAATTATTCAATTGTCTGAATAGTACACTGCCAATTAAGATGGTGGTGCGTATCATTTGATCGTCTTAAAATTAGTGGCAAACGGCACAATTTCATTGCCTCGCATGTAGTTTAATCTATGTTGTAGGAATAGTTAATCTAGTTCAAATAAACCCACATGTGTTTTGTTAACTTGAA